CTGCAGAAAGAGAAAATGTACCAAGAACCGACTCTCCGCCTCAGCAGTTAAAATCTCCCTTTCAGCCTGTCCGGGACAAGTGAGTTCTTGTTCAGTGAAATTTACTTAAAGGAAAGAAAGTGCTTGGATAATACAGACTAATCCAAGCACACCCTCATTATCATAAATCAAAGCAACAATCAAGCAATTCAGTAAAGCTTTTCAAAGTGGTATAAACTTGCAAACTATATACGTTCGCCTGGAAGTTTGGTGTGTGTGTGTGTTTTCCAAAACCGAATTCCCCCACCACCAATGTCACACTGCATTTCTAGTGTGTGTGTGTGCGTGTTTGTGTGTGTGTGTGTGTGTGCGTGTGTGTGTCCTTTTTTTTTTTTAATCTAGTCTGTTCCCTGGTGCAGATGGGTGAGAAGTAGCTGAGCTTTCACTGATAGATGGTTCTGTCTTTTCTTCCCAACAGCTCTTTGACTCAGCAAGAGGGAACATCGTGAATTTTAACAACACTCCCTTCTGCTTGATTAAATGTTTTTTGGGTTTTTGTTTTGTTTTTTGTTTTTGCTTTTTTATTTTTTGGTGGAAAAGGAAATTTCACAGACGGGTCTAAAGAACAAAACAAAAATGGAAATGATTTAAATGACTCCCATCAATCTCTTTTTGCAATAAGGTAGTACCAATTCATTAAAAAAAAAAAAAAAAAAAAATCCAGCTCTTAACTGGACTCTCCTCTTTTCCATTATTCCATTTTAAGAAAGTGTAATTCTAACCTTGATTGGGTAACTTGTTTTTGCTAAAGGTTTCTCATGTGATTGTGTTATTCTGTATATAAAGTGGTTTCAAATTGTAAATAGTGCCACAGCAAAAACTTGTCTAAATCGTATATTTTTGCCTAATAAACAAAATGAAATTATGACTTTGCCCTGCACAAATGAGTTTTGGTTTTGCATAAGGAAAACTCAAGACTTGTATTGCTTTCCATCCAATATTAGTAGGGCTTTAAGCACTAATCTGTTTAGTTGGTAGATTAATCAACTAAAGCTTGGATGACTAATCATGAATATAATAGAACTGGCACACTTTAAATAATTAGCCATGCAGCTAAAAAATTATTTAATAGAAAACAAGATTTTTTCTTCTTCTAGGAATGACAGCATTTTGCATCTGAAAATCTCAGCTATTTTAAATTTCCAAAAGTACTTCAAAAATATATTTGTTCTGTGGTATTAGTAGCATGCAAGTGTATTTAAGTTTAATCAATAAGTAATTATTGTACTGCCCAACACATGTCTACTCGGACGTAAATCCCATTGAACTAATGAATGTCACCCTCAGGTAAGTATATTTAGAACTGCAATCCTAGGTTAAAAAGGCAGTTGATGGATAAATTATTTAAACTCGACATGGTCAACATTAAATACTTATGACAATTTCTGCAGCAAGTGGCATCTTAGTGGCACACTCACAGTGTGTATTTTTTCATGCTTGTGAGAGGATGGCTTTCTCTCTTAAATCAAACCATGCTTTCATTTGAGGGGGTGAATATGCCCCTTCCCTGGAAGCGACCTGCAAATGTGTTGCTCTTTTGTGCTAGAGAAATTAATTCTTCCTTGATAAGGGGAATGGCTGTTTTCTAAACCAAGCACCAGGTTCAGTACAGAGGCCTCCTATTAAGTGGCTCTCTGAAGTTCCCTATGTTATGTTGACTGCAAAACTAGTTTATCTCATGGCTGAGATAGGAAAACGGAGGTATAGAAAATAAAACTGGGATGTCAAGATTGAGTTTTGAGGTGGAGATGAGCCTTTGGAAGTCTATTCCCCATCCCCCTTCTGGAATTTTAGCTTGCAATCTTTGTAGCAAAAAGAAAAAGAAACTGTAAATCATTGGCCTTCTTAACAAGGAAAGGAATGAGAGAAGAAGCAGCAAGTTCCCCAAAGCTTGGCTAATCTTCCAAAGGCTAGCTCTTGAAAAAGTTGCAATATTTTTCCAGGGGCTCCCATCTCTCCACCGACTCTCTCTCTCTC